AGACTCGACGAGTTTCAAAAATTTTTGAAATTTTTGTACCAATGTCAGCATTAATGTTGAGTTACTAACTCAAAAACTAAGAAAAATCCTATGATGTATGACTAAAAAAATGTGTATATATAAACAAATTTAACAAATTAATTAACAAAATTACTAAAAAAATGTATAAAAAATTTTAAGATGAAAAATATGCAAAATTCTAAAGTTAAGGGATTGAAATTAACATTTAACCTAAAATTTTTTATAAGCCAAAATATGCCTTCTAGGAGTTTTAAATGTCAAATGTGCTCGATCTTAAATCTAAAAAGGAAAAAAAATTAAGAGAAAGTTAGATTTGGGATATTAGACATTTAAGTTTGCAAAAAAATTAAAAAATCTAAAGAAATGATTTGTTTATTCTTTCGTCTCTTTTGCAGATATTAGATACTTGGATCTATAATTTCAAAAAAAAAAAAAGACAGAGAGTTAGATCTAGTATGTAGAATATGTAAATTTTGGTAAAAAAAATTAAAAACATTTTAAATAAATGATCTTCTTACTCTTTTGTCTTTCTTGTAAAAACTAAATACTGAGATTTACAATTTCAAAGAAAAAAGAAGGCAAAGGGTTAGATTTGGCATGTATAACATGCAAATTTTGTAAAAAATTAAAAAATTTTTAAAGCAATGATTTCCTTACCGTTTTATTACCTTTGTAGGGAAATTTTGGATAAACAGTGGTTCCCTATTGCTTTCGTGAAAGAGAGGAGAAGCAAACAAAAGCTCTAGGAAAATACAAAACAAAACAAACTAGATCTATGTTTTGAAGATGATAACAATTATTTATATGAACACAAGTTTTGATGCAAATAATAAAGAATTATTGACCCCCCACTCTACTAAAATATGTCTGAAGTATAGAGTACAATGAAATAGTATCATATCCATTTATAAATAGTAAGAAACTATTCACCAAGTTTTTCTTACCATTTTTATAATTTTTCTGAAACATTGATCACAATGGATTAGGTTTTGTTGGACTTTTGATTACAACAATACTTAACCATTAGTGTAAGCATGAATAATGTGGATGCAAAGAAACATATATTTGTATCAATATTTCATGGTTTACGCTTAAAACGTTGATGCTTTTATGACTACATTCTTGTAGTCTTTTCTTTCTCCAATCAACCGACTTGAGCAAATCCACAACATACCTGCAACGTTTCTATTTCTTAAGTATTTCAATGAAGCATTAGATGCACCATTCTGGTGAAGTAGGTGGAGCACTGATGAAAGTGCCCTTCTCAGTCCTCATCTTAATTAGCAGTACTGGTGTTAGATACGAAGTGGCATTGCTAAGGGTGTAATCAGTTTTTTGTGACCCTTGCTATCTTGTTATACGAATAATTTGTAGGTAATGACCTAAGATTTAACGCTTATACTAACAGGTAATCTAAAATGTGAATCCAACGTGATGGAAGGGTTCACATACAAGGGGTGGTACCAGATGAACTAGGACTACTGAAAAGCTCATCTACGATAAATATATATACCAGATGAAACTTCAGAAAATTAAAAAATATTCCTCCTAAGCCATTCACCATTTCTTTTAAGTTGCCTAGACCTTGTTAACATATCAGAGAATCAATCACATTAAAATTAATTGATTGACTCAACATACATAATCAAAAAATATATTTGATTCTACTATTAATGAGGTAGATTATATTTAAGGTTTTTATACTACAGCAAATTTGCCATATAACTACAGGCAAAAACTGCAAGCATATGATAAAAGCCCTTAGTTACATAACTATGTTTCTCTACCTAAAACCTGTAAAGGCTGTTATAAATATCTTTAAACATCTCTGAATTATAAGAAGATTGTCCTTCTTCCAATTGTCTGTCCTTACTTTCCATGCTATAAACTACTCTAATAGACCTGTCAATGTCCGGCTGTTCTATCCCAATTTTGGTCTGATGGTAATCCTAGAAGCGTTAGTCATGAGACCCATGACACCAAGTCACCAACCATTCCTGTCGACAGCACGCCTGGCTCCACCTCCATAATATCTCTCAAAAGAAAGCTCCTGTTGAGCATACATACCGAAACTCCTCTGACTCTGAGGGAAAACGCAGCAGTTGTGGGAAGGTTAAATTGGAAATATTGAGATTGAGGTATGTATCACAAGGTATGCAGCTAGAAACACTGCATGCCATGGTGACTTGTAGACTTTAGTTTGGAGACGTTGCCTGCCAATCAAGAGAAATGGCCAGTCCTCTGCAGCTGCGACCAAAAAAAAAAATAATGATAATAATAAAAACGAAGAAGAAGAAGAAAAATTCTGAGGTTAGTTATCTTTTTCTAGTTATCAACTAGTAAACTTCATGTTTCTGTCAAATGTAATGAAGAAATCTTAGCCAATCGTAGCAATTGACTTGATTAGCAGTTATTAAGAAATATTTATTCCTTACCTTATTTAGTTCGAAATTGAAATGTTTTAATCCTTTTTGGCTTTCATTGAAAACTTCAATTAATTATCAGGTTTACGGAGCTTGTGGAGAGAGATCCCATGCAGGCAGCCCTCGACACTGAAAGAGTGTTAGATGTTCCCTTCAGTCAAATCTCAGAAGGCGCTCCGTTGCCATTGAATCCACCAAGATATCCCCTGTTCTCTAATCAATTCTTCCGCGGCCAAGGTCGCGACCTCTTCCCCTGCGCCGCTTCCTGGTTCCTCATCGACATCGTATTTTACTCCAACAACCTCCTTGAATCCAGGGCTCATCACAATTTTATCAAGGGAGAACACAGTGCCTATGAATCGGCTTTTAGAGTAGCCAGCCTCCAAGCAGCTGTGGTCGTCCTTTTTACCATCCCTGGCTACTTGGTCACCGTCTATTTCATC